AAAAAATCTCGGATCTCGGATTTAGATCGGCCCTCTCTGACCGATACCCGATCCGAGAAAAATGGCACTATCGGACCCGATATGAATATCAGATCGGCACATCCCTATCTTGAACCGTGAGCTTGCTCTGTCTGCTACAGTTTTCTCCTCATTGCATCCATCTTCAGCATCTCTGGCCTCTGTTAACGGTCGTTTACAGACCTCTTAATATTTCCAAACAAATTACATTTTGGGAAATGATCACAATGCAGTTTGTGCAAGTCGGGGATTGGCCAAATTAAAACGAAATAAAATGCATGGAAATGAACAGTTCAATATTATATTGAGAATTGTGGCATCCCTATTGGGTATATATATATTGCTAAAATGTTTATACATTCATTTTTAAACTTTAAAATTCAAAGCTGTAATTCATTGGTGATTCACACAATCATTTCATTGACTGATTTTTTTTTTCCTGTTTTGACTGACAGAGCCCTTCCACAGACCGTCTTCATTTGGAGGTCTAACCTCATTAAGCACTGCAGCCTTTGGTGGACTGGGAAACCCAGCACTCGGTGAGTGCCAATCAATCAACTGTTTTGTATTAGAAAATTCACCTTCAGTCAACATTTTATAATTTAGAAATGCAGTACATTTATATATTTCAGTTATCAGACTAATTGTAGGTTGAAAAGTCATTACAAGACATATCTGACATCAAAGAGTAGGCCTACTCATGCATGAAATAGACAAGATCAAGATAAATAAAATCTCACGTCGTTTTTTTTTTTTACGTCTCCCAGCATCCAACTCTGTATTTGGCCACAAAGAAGCACAACAGCACTTCAGCGGACCCCACGAGCCATGGAACAGACTCCACCGTACTCCGCCATCTTTCCCCACCCCACCTCCCTGGCTCAAACCTGGAGACATTGAACGCAGCGCGTCGGTCAGCTCCCATGAGAGAGAACGAGAACGAGAAAGGGACAGAGAGAGAGAACGTGACCTGGACAAGAGGGATTCATCAGTCAACAAGGATGATAAAGAGCGGTGTGTAGAGCTGTATGGATGATACTAACCAGTCACATCATCTGTCAGTGATATATTTTTTTTTTTTTAAGTATCAGTGGCATGTATTTTTACCGTACAGTCGGCTGGTCATTGCAAAATAAACCCTCTCTGGGTTTATTCTGCCAAAAAATTATTTGCCTGATAGTAATGATCCGTTTCACCTCTAGGGAAACTGCGGAAAAGAGGCACCAGAATCACCCATCCCCAATTCCTGTTAACCCCCTCACTCTGACGAGTCACACCCGATCATCTGAGCCTTCCCGGAACCACATCCCTTCTAGTGAGTCTCGGGATAAGGACAAGCCCAAAGATCGTGAGAGAGAACGAGAGCACTCGAACTGGAAAGACTCCAACACAGATGAGCACAAGGTGAAGGAGAATCACCACAGTGACAAAGACACTCCCGTCATCCACGACAGCCGGGTTTCTGAAGACAAGCCGGCAAATCGGGTTACAGCATCACCCTACATGCGGCCAGGCACCATAGATCGGGTCAACGGCGGGCTGACTCGAGATGTTCTGGAGAAGAAGGGCGATGTCACCTATGAGAAGAAAAACAGTGAGGTGAAGGTGAAAGAAGAGAGAAAAGAGGAGCAGGATGGTCCCACAGGGAGATCCCCGGAGCAGAGATCCACACCACAAGCACCTCCTCCTGCTGCTCTCCACCCTCCATCTTCAATGCCTGTACCCATGGGCATGCCCAGTATGCATCCCATAAACAGTATCAGTAGTCTGGAGAGGACTCGTATGGTGGCCCCCTTCATGGGTATCAGCCCCATCCCAGGGGCAGAGAGGTTCCCCTATCCCGCCTTTCATTGGGATCCCATGAGGGACCCTTACCGGGGACTCGATATCCACCGGAGGGATCCATTAGCTCGAGATCTGCTACTGCGGAATGAACCCCTGCACCGGTTAGCAGCGCCACGCCTTTATGAAGCAGAGCGCTCGTATCGAGACCGTGAGCCTCATGACTTTAACCGAGACCTCCCTCACGGTCTGACCTTGGAACAGCGGCGGGAACAAGAGCGGGCGCACATAGAGGAGCGGGAACGTCTGCACTTGCTCCGAGAAGACTACGAGCAGGGGCGTCTGCACCTGATGCATCACCCCGCTTTAGACGGACACCTCCCTCACCCGGGTCTCATGGCCCCTGGACTTCCCAGCATGCACTACCCCCGTGTTAGCCCCTCCTCTGCCGTAGCTGCCCAGAATGGAATCCTCAACAAAACCCCTCCCACCGCATCACTCAGTGCCCCACCCCCTCTTATCCCAACCCTGGGAGCGCGTTCCACGTCTCCCAGACGGACTACCCCACTCGGCACTGACATTAGAGACAGACCCCCTTCACACACACACAAAGACATCGAGGCACGGTGAGACCCCTGATGGACTGAAATGGAACTCAAAAGCAAGCACTTGAGACTGTATCATATCTGTGTATAGATTGTGCATTACTGATGGTTTTTTTTTTTTGTGCATTTTGCTTTTGTACAAAAGACTGAGATTTTTCATGCTCTTTTATCCTGTTCGTTGCTGTGTATTCTTAAACATGTACAGTACACTGATCTCGAGCAAGTGGACAAGCGTTAGATCTCCCAACATGGAAAAAATGGTCTTGGACTTGGTACCTTTACAGGTACCTCAATACATTGCAAAAAGGCAGAACTTGTAGATATGTGTAAAGTCGGTGTATTTCTCTCCTTGAGGGAAAAAAAAATTAAGGTACAATTATTATGCAAATGGATGTTATGAAAGCTTTACTTTGAAATGCTGTACATAGTGGGCAGTGATCAAATGGATAGTGAGTGCACGGTCTCTGGTTTTAGTTTAATGCTGCATATTAATGGTTTGGAAAGATATTGTCCAAGAGATCACATCCCTTCTTTCAACTATGCAACTCATGCGTGGGCGCTCTCTCTGTATCACTTTTTCTCTCCTCTAGAGCAATGGTTCCCAACCCTGGTCCTGGAGGCACCCCAACACTGCACGTTTTGCATGTGTCCTTTTTCTGACACACCAATTTCAGGTCTGGGAGTCTCTACTAATGAGCTGATGACCTGAATCAGGTGAGTTTGGTTAAGGAGACATTCAAAACGTGCAGTGTTGGGGTGCCTCCAGGACCAGGGTTGGGAACCACTGCTCTAGAGGACAACCAGTCTCTCTACTGAACCCTCTCATTCTCCTGTTGGAGCAACAGTACATGCTTACACATTACTCAGATTGTGATTGTTCCTAAATGGGATTTTCTGCAATGAGTTTTACTCGCACATCTGACAAACATGTTCCCTAACTTTTGATCCAGAAACATGCTTTTGTTATTCAAACTATAAAAATCTGTGTTGACAATCCTTACAAATACACCAATGTTCCAAGAACCTAACAAAACCTAAATTCTCTGAATTAATTACCTCTAAATGAAAAGTCTGGCAATTTGAAAAAGACTGCAAAATTACAACACTGTTAGCGCACCATGTCACGAGAAGTTTGAGTACAGAAAGCAGGTCAATTCTCTATTGGTCTAACTGTATTAAAGTGTTATGTATCTACACAATGATAACGTAAGATGTAAGCTATGGGCAGTTTGTTTTTATTGAGCAGAGATCTATTTTAGTAGTCCATGGGAGAGATAGTTGTGTGCTTTTAAACTCTGTGAAATTCAGATGATGTGCAGTGTTTTGTTTTGTTTTTTATTTAATTTTCTTTTTTTAAATCAAACATTAAAATGTCCACTGAAGCAGTAGTGGGTAGTCAATACGTATTGCAAAGAGATTGTAAGAAACTTTTTTGCTGTTTATCATGTACGTACGTAAAAAATTAAGTCCTTTCTAGATCATGTACAAAAAAGGGTGAGGCGACAGCATGCTCCTCAGTTAAACTTGTGTTATGGAAATTGTGCCATGTTATTAAAAAATGTGAACTAATCGTGTCCTAAAGTTTGTCAATACTACCCATCAGAAAAAATAAATCAACACACTCAATACCCATAAGCCAGATCTGTTAGCAGCATGTAGAGCAAGCAGTAGTAGTATTGCTTATGTTTAGGATTAGTGGTTATTTGCCTGGAGAATGATAAAATGGTTGAAAAAAAATCTCAAAGAGTGACTTTAAAGTTCACATGAAATCAAAATTGATGCGATGCACTGTTTGCGTGCATTTCTAGTCTTGTGGTAAAACTAATCATTTCCATTTAACTTAATAAAAATTGTCTTTGTATTCTTTAATCAAAATCTGAAAATGTACTTCCACTCTGGAATGGAGTTCATTCTCTGATTTTGTCAGTGTGATGCCGTTTGATAGCATGGGCAGAATATTTTTAACCACTCGAATGGTTTGCTAGAGTGAGAGAGGAGGTACACTAAAATAAAATCCCACCCTGTTTAATATTCCATTCCAACTTCCGGCTCACGCAGGCTTTAAAGGAAAGTCCAAATATAAAATCCAAAATATCACTGAGTACGTTTACATGGACATCACATCAGTAATTAATTATTTACCTGATTCTGAATAAGACAGTATTATTATTAAGGTTTACATTGCGCTGCTTCTAGAATATTCCTTTCATGTTCCCGTTTTTACAGTACATAGATTAATGACACACGTGATTACGTTCCCACGCCATCTGACGTTCCCTCCAGAATTTCACGTATCAACACAGTTCGTTTCATTTTTAATTTTACGAAAGCTTCAAGTGCAGTTAATTATGTCATGCTATACGTGCAAACAGACGACGACGGATAAAAATGAGCCTTCTTGCTTGAAGTAGAGGTCTGCAAGCCCGTCGGGGCCCGACACGCTGAGTCTATTCGGGCCGGGCTCGGGCCATTTTTTTTTTCCTCCTTTTATTATGCCCATATACGCGCAGAGCACACATAGGCTGTATGAAATATTGTTTTATTGATTGTATTATAAATATTATACATCGCCGCAATAAGCAACGCATATACGCATAACATGACAGCAAAAAACGCACGCAATAGGCTAAAGCATGCCGCAAAGCCCCAGCAAAAGTAATTACCATGAATGTGTCGGGGGAAGATGAAGATGACGATCCTGAATCGCCATCTCCTCAGAGAGAAGTGCATCTTTACGGATTTTATAATGAAAGTTTTTCATGTAAGTATTTTTTGGTATAGTAGTTGTTTTTCGATTTTCGAAGAATGTGTTAAAGTATGTTAGTCCAATCTTATATTGTTGTGATTACCATCTTCTTGGCTAAAAGATGGTACCATTTTGAAAGATGTGAAAAACACATAGTGACTGCTAGCCAGTCCTGAGGTAAACACGACACAGCGGGCTTAGTTGTAACACGGTGTTACAACTAAGCCGCACATTGTGTAGGTTACATCAATAATCGGAAATGTTGGATTGTACATGTATCTGAAATAATGCATTATTATACCCTGCGTCCTCATATGTGGACATTATATTTTAGTGAATTTCTCTGAGACTATAACGTTACATGCCAGTTTTAAGTCTGGATGTCCTGTACAGAGCACATTCAGGGATTTTCAGAGATACTAAATATTTGGACGTTTCACTATGACCACTCTCTCTCCTTGGTCTTCAAAAATGTCTGATATTTATTTAGTGACACTTACAATCTTGTCAGTTATTACTCCCATAATTACACTTCTTTTTTCATTACATGTTGCCCCAAAAACACATTAATAGGCCTATTAAAAAAAAAAGTAACTTTTTTTTTTTTTTTAAATGCTCTGAACAATGTAATGACATGAAAAAAAAAACTATTTTTTTCCTAAAAAATTCTTCCCAGGTCTCAGGAGGTTAAATAGTTTGCACAAACACTTGTTGCATTTCTTTTGTTCACAGGGTGAGAAATCGTAGAAGGTCCACAACTAGGGGAGTGACTAGGTAAAAATTCACCACTACCTCCAGTGGGCTACTGGCCACACAGAAAGGTCTTCACATCAGAGCAGGAGGAGCAGCTTGTTGCTTATTTGACCCATGCGGCAGCAATATGTTATGGGCTGAGCCCCAAGGAGGTAAGCTGGTTAAGCTAGGATAAGTTAGGAAATGAGAATAAGATCAGAAGAATTATTGCTCTATTCGTACATTCAAGTGCCTGTTTCTGTTATAAATGGTAGGTCAGTTTGTTTGAATGCTTAACATGAATTAATGTGTGAATAGGCCTACACACACATAGATGCACACATAAATACATACATAGACTATATACATGCACACGTACGTATACATATATACACTACCAGTACCAAAAGATTTTTTATGTTTATGTTTTTAAAGAATTCTCTTCTGCTCGTCAAGCCTGCATTTATTTGATCCAAAATACAAGAAAATTGTGAAATATTTTTACTATTTAAAATAGCTGCTTTCTATTTGAATATGTTTTAAAATAGAATTTATTCCCATTATCAAATCTAAATTTTCACTTGTTACTGGTAGTGTGTATACAGTTTATACACAATTAAGAAATTTTAGGATGCCTTGTGTGATGTATGTAAAAGCAATTAATCTAGTTGACATTATTATTTTTTTTCCTTTTTTATGTTTCTGTTTTTCAGGTCAGAAAACTTGCATTCCAATGTGCTGTCCAGTTCCACTGCACATTCCCAGAATCCTGGTCTAAAACGCAAATGGCGGGCAAAGACTGGTTCACTGCTTTCCTCAAAAGGAACCGATCTCTTTCGATCAGAAAACCACAGGCCACCAGTGTGGCGAGAGCCACTAGTTTTAATGCTCACACTGTGGGAATTTTTTTCAACAATTTACACACTGTCTACAATATGCACAATTTTACCCCAAATGATATATGGAACATGGATGAAACTGGTGTGAACACAGTGCAGGCCCCAGAGAAGATAATAGCCACAAAAGGAATACGCCAGATTGGAGCAATGACCTCTGGAGAAAGGGGTAAGCTAGTGACCATTGCAGTGGCCATTAATGCCCTGGGGAATTCGATCCCTCCATTTTTTGAAAGTAGACCCTTTACAGTTCCGAATGATGTATTACTCTTACCTTTATGAGCAAAAATGATGGCATATTTTAAGTTGTTTCCAATGCAAGTGATCGTGCCGGCGCCTCCATGTCCTGTAAAGCGCGCTTTAGCTCTCCGCACAAACAATTAGATATGCATCTAATAGCGCACATTTATATAGGTTCAACATTTAAACTAACATTGTGATATGCTTGAACTGTTTTATATCTATAGATTTTATTTTAGGCAAGTCCTGATGATTTGAGAAGGCTAAATTGATCAAACATAGGCTATCAGCTCACTGTCTGCCGCTGGCCAATTGGTTGTTACTTTAAAAAACAAAAACTTACATTTACACATAAAAACTTCCAAACGTTTTTCTAAATTAACTTAATAAAAAAACGAAACGAAATATAATCACTTTGACATTACATACAAAACTGAACTATTTTAATAGCTGAAACAGTAGTATAAGCTGTTTTGGGAGAAGGGGGGAAGGGGGAAAGACGGGCTCGGGTCGGACTCGGGCCAAGAATTCTGATGAGCTGTCAGACCTGGGCCAGGCTAGGGCCTGAGCGTCTCGGGCCAGGGCCTTAATTTGATGCCCGTGCAGGGCTCTAGCTTGAAGCCATGCTCTTTTGTTTGCTGTCAAACGGTTAACCACTGCCGTGTGTTTATCCTGTGGCAAAATGCAGCGAAAAGTCCTGTATGACGGTAATAGTGTGATTAAGGTGTGTACATGTCTATATAGGCCCTGTCCCAAATGGAACACTTCATGTGCACTTGCGGTCTTACGGACTTACAATGGCCGCCGCATGCGTGTGTCCGTTAAGTCCACGAGACCGTAGGGCGTCCCATTCGTCATTTTAGCATTCAGAAGGGTGCTCGCGAGCGCCCCCTTTGCAGCCGTTATGCCCCCTCGATACGCACTTCTGCCGAGCCCGCACTGGTGTTTGGAGTCAGAAAACTGAAATAAGAGGTTGAAATCAGATCAAACCCAGAAGGATTAAGCTCTGATAAAACATTTCTGTTC